ATATTAAGACAAAAACATGTTTGTAAACGTCCTCCTAAAAGGTTTACATAATCTCTACAAAGAATATAAGTTGGCGATAAGTGATCGTGACTAGCTGCCTTCCCTCTAGTTTATAACTTCAAAATTATGAACAGCTTACGCAGATAGATAATCCTCGAGTATCTTTGCACAAACTTCGAAGAAGTATCGTACAAACGGTGTTTATGTTTTTGAATGAACATTTTAGCAGATGTAGAAATTATTTATATGAGTTAGTTGCGAATCGTTAAAATTGAAACAAAGATCGAATAATTTATGCATTAAAGCAGCCCTGGATTTATAATTTCTCCTTCGATAAATAAAGGCCTCATACACTTCGTGGTAATACACTTTAGAAACGATCACACCAACACATAGACATGTGACAAATAAACTCCTATATAATATTGGAAATAATTATGGAAACGCACAGGTGATACACATGTAGGAGTCACAAACAATGAGTAACTGCAACCAAGTGGTTAATTTATCACTAGTACTATCCATTATTACAGAAAATAGAAAGTAAATAGATTCTATAATGCACTAGTATTTTGTATTTCCTTTAAAACTAAGCAGTACACGTTAGTTTTATGAAATCGTAAGTTTATCTGTTTATGATTTTGAAATATTGTTCCAAATGTCCTGTATTATTTCATATAATTCGGCCAAGTTTTTTGAACTTCTCAGCTTTCATATAAGCCCACACAACCTTAACAATATTTATATCGGAATTTTGTGCAGGTCAAGCCATGATTGCGAGTTTCATGAACCTTTTTTTTTATTTCACTACGTTTACATCATGCTCGGGACCACTGTCTTGCTGGAATATGAATCATGTCTTTTTATTTCACTACGTTTACATCATGCTCGGGACCACTGTCTTGCTGGAATATGAATCATGTCTTTTTATTTCACTACGTTTACATCATGCTTGGGATCACTGTCTTGCTGGAATATGAATCTTGCCTTTTTATTTCACTACGTTTACATCATGCTTGGGATCACTGTCTTGCTGGAATATGAATCTTGCCTTTTTATTTCACTACGTTTACATCATGCTTGGGATCACTGTCTTGCTGGAACATGAATCTTGCCTTTTTATTTCACTACGTTTGCATCATGCTTGGGATCACTGTCTTGCTGGAACATAAATCTTGCCTTTTTATTTCACTACGTTTACATCATGCTTGGGATCACTGTCTTGCTGGAATATGAATCTTGCCTTTTTATTTCACTACGTTTACATCATGCTTGGGATCACTGTCTTGCTGGAATATGAATCTTGCCTTTTTATTTCACTACATTTACATTATGCTTGGGATCACTGTCTTGCTGGAACATAAATCTTGCCTTTTTATTTCACTACGTTTACATCATGCGTGGGATCACTGTCTTGCTGGAATATGAATCTTGCCTTTTTATTTCACTACGTTTACATCATGCTTGGGATCACTGTCTTGCTGGAACATGAATCTTGCCTTTTTATTTCACTACGTTTACATCATGCTTGGGATCACTGTCTTGCTGGAACATGAATCTTGCCCAACAAGTATTTTTCCAAAGGGAATAACATAATGGATAAAAATCGAGTTGTACCTGATAGCAGTCAAATGTTATCAATTTTGTGTAGATATCAAACATTATTGGTTGATACGTATCCCACACTTGTATTAGCTCTCAACATGCTTCACAGTAGATGTTATACGTTGAACATGATACCGTTTTCTTCTCTGCCATCAAGCTGTCATTGTTTGTTGAAACATAATTTGAGTTTGGATTCGTCTGTAAAGATGTGAAGAGCACCATTTTTCAGTTCTATTTGAAGTCTGATACCCACTTCAGCCTCTTGGCTTGGTTATGTGTCCGAAACAGTACTTGCTGAGTAGTTGTGGTTACACATAAATTGAGATCACCTCGTACTAATGCATGTCTTACTACTCTTGTGGTAACATTCACATTTCTACTTACAGCTAGGTCATTGACAATATTTCTACTGGACTGTCGTCTATCACAAAAATAGCTTACCCGAAGTTACTTAACATTACCTTTGAAGAGTTTGGACATTCTAATTTAATTACTTCTGTATTAACCATGCTTGTATAACATACCATTTTCAAAGTTTTTATTCAACTCTTACTGAAACATGAAATTTCGTCACAACCTGTCGCGTGAAGTAGTTTTCACCAAGCTAAAATTATTATATATATACACAATTATGATGCAGCATTTCTGTCCTGGGAGCCATGAGTCCAACTACCATAATACTGCTGGGAATAGTTTGACTACTTGTACTTTTATTAGTGTTACACCGGTGTAGCATTCCTATTGTTTAAACAAAAGCTACTCACAGTGTAAACAGAAAACATGTGGCTATACTTTTTGTGAAGTTAATTTTAATTACAATACAGAGAAAGAAGTCCCATTGTATTTGCATTTTATACACATTTCATTCACTGTTTCCGTAAATTATTTCCAATAATGAATATATCACGAATACACAACTTACAGAACTCTATAGGAATCTCAATAATAACAATGATAAATTTAAGCGTTGGTATCGAGAAACTAAAGAGGGAGACCTGAAACATGCATACAATAACATTTGACGATGGTACTAAAGAAATCAGTGGGAATCGATCAGTATACATGAAAGCATGAATAATATTAGCAATATTGCCCGTGAAATTTCTTTACTTATCTTTGATGCTCTATAGATTTCCCTTTTCGTTTTTCTCTTTTATTATTATTTTTTTTGTTACTAAGTTGTCTCGTATTTTACCAAACAGTAAAAAAGATTAGCATTCGGCTAATCCACTAGAGGTTATTGTGCTGTCACAGAGTGGTCAGAACTTGTGATTTGTAGTATTGTTGACGACACTTCACCATTTGCTTTCATCTGCCGTTATTCTAGTTCTCTTACCTTCTGCTCTGTGAGAGCTAGTGCTTGAGACCATCATTAGTTTTCTTTTCCGTGATACGTTTTTCTAGTCGATTTTATTTTCAGTGTCGCATTGAGCGAAGCGCAACTTGTATTACTGCCGTCATCGACCCTCTTCCCATCTGTTTGATTAACGTTCTGGAAAGTTCTGCATAAAGGAATAACGTTAAACATCAATAGTGCCTTTTGATTAATCGAAATTTTAGGTAACCTGAAATTCTCTGTGTTCAATAAGCAATTTATCATCCCTGTTTTGTATAACGTTTTGCTTCATTTATTAAAGTTTTATCTGACAAGTTTAAGTTTATATAATTATATGTATGTGCGCGCGTGTATGTAGCTAATTTAATAACTTAAATCATGACTATGTATTAATTTAATTTTTAACAAGTAATTTTATAATGTAATCTTTATAACAAACATATTATTATTATTATAGTAACTTTTTCTCGAGATTGAAAATTTAAATTTTTTATTCAAAACAGATTGGTTGAAGAGCAGCGAGAACACTGCGCTATTCTTCCTGCCCCCCCCCCCAAAGGTTTGTTTATAGCACAATGCTACACCATGGGCTGCCTGGGCTTTGCCCGCCGCGGATATCGAACACCCGATGTTTTGCGTTATAAGCCTTAAAAGATCTACAGAGTTTATTTTCGTAAATGTATGCCTGCGGACTTACAACGCTAGAAACCGGATAGCCCATTGTGTAGCTTTGTGCTTAACTTTAAAGAAATAAACAAACTGTATATAATTTTTTTTTTCTATACTGTTTTAGGTCAAACCATGATAAAATATTACAAAATTGCTCAAGTGTATTAACAAAGAAACTTTATTGTTGTATGCAGAGACAAATGATGTATTTTCAAAACTAAAACATTGTATAATGTGAAATTCACTGGTCTCCGAAAAACATGTTTTTATGAATAGGTTTATGTTAAACAACATCTCGAGTAAAATCAGTTAAAACATACAACATAAGTCATGTGGTAACATGAAAGCTTCTAGTCTAGACTTGTTTTATCAATAAAAAATAGCGTTTGTGGTTTTCTTTAATACCGTATTTTTCGGTGAATAAAACGCACTTTTTTACCCTAAAATTTGATGTCAAAATCTGCTTTCGTCCTATACACCGAAGGTATGAATAATATATATGTATATCTACGATATACACAAGCCATGTGTAAATATATTTAAATAGGCATGCATAGTTTAGTTCAACTGAATATGTTAT